CATATCGAGTCAGCTTTTTAGGTTAGTGATATGGCAAGCTGACATCAATGCGAAAGTCCATCACAGGACCATGTCTCTATGTAGAAACCTGACCTTGTATGTTTTGAGTAGTGTACTGCGCATGCACGGTGATATGGCCTGTCGCTGTCGTGAGTCAGCACCGCTATATCAAGCAAGCTTTCTACCTACATATCCGGGTCGGATGGCGGTTAGTTTTCGGCGCCTCTTCTAGAACATCAGTAGGTAAATACCTAGGTAGATATCTATGCAAGGGTATGCAATCGCGGTAATTATTGAAACTTGGTAGCGGACAAGGGAACGGATGAACGAAACGAGACGGCCGTAAGGCACGTGCCTTTAATTCATAAGATAGATGCCTCAAATTCAAGGGCTGTTTATGTATTGTATATACATTAGTAGGGATAGAGAGAGAGAGAGAGCTAAGGCTGAAAAGATAATAAAGAAAATCCCAACGCTAGCAAGGTAAGGAAACATTAACAGGCTCATCGTACCATTGACAGCGCGGTTGTGGGTAGCATGAGCATAAATCTTATTTCTTGTAAACCCGGGTATTACTCAGATCAGGGTATAATTGTAGTTTAATCCAACCGAATACCTGGTCTAGGTTGCTGTCTGATAAGTTGTTCAATAAACCGGCTGAACTATCGCTCATACATACCTTCTAACTCTGCTGTGTGTTGGCGGCACAAGCGGACTAATACATGAGCGACATGTCTATCGCGACCAACCGCTAAATAGATCCCCTATCGAGACTAGGTATTACACGAAAAAAGCGGTACAACTTTGAACGTTGTAATCTAGGTATGAGTATTGTGTAACGGGATGTAACCATTAGGAAAATCAATTCTTCTATACTAATTAGTCTAAACATCCTAAACGTCTTATGCTTGGAGGAGGTACTATAAAATACATCACGGAGAGACCTTCGGTCACAAGAATCGACATACCTAGTACGGGTGTACATACATGTAAGAAATAAATCTCTATCTCCATCTAGCTTGTCCGATTCGGACTCAAGCCTTGTCAACGAGTACTAAAATCGGCAGCGCGTTGTTGATCTTAACCCCCCATATTTCTCAGCTACATTCTCCATATTACCTACAATGCTACATGCCTAACCTACATCTCTGCGGTTGGCGATAGGCCTAGTTGGCGAAAGATCGCAGATGCTGCTGATTCGCACCCCACACGGATAGTTCATAATCTTATTCAGACGCCGCTTCGCCGCTGCTCGCTAATAGCCAATACCTAGTCCTCTCCTGGTAGCCCGGCTGACCGCTGACACTGTCCGTGGCCCACCCCCAGGCTCTTTGCTTTTGCTCCATGAGTCCGTTTTGGGTATCGCCTGTGGCACGATGGCAAATGCGTACGCTTCGTATAGATTAACCTATAGGATATTACTTGTATCTATATGTCCGCGAAGAGCCTTAGGAGCACGAGCCAAGGAAAAGCGGTCGCTGGTCTTATAGCAGCTGTGCCTATTCCTACCCAATTCTCGTCTCGGGGGAATACTAGGGAATAAACATATCAAAAGAAAAGAGTTGGCGTTTGTCACATATGAAGTCAATATGACATAGGCAAAATGCACCCTAGTCATATCGACGAGAAGGCTGTTGAAGCATACGAAGCATATGACGTGATGCTAATATCAATATCAATATCATGAAGTCAGGTTAACTATCGTTTCGCCCGTCGTATCCGCCCATTGGCAACATGACTCCCTTTTAGCCCACTTACGGAATTGGAGGTTACCAGGATTATGAGGTACTTTCGGAGATGTTGAAGAAGGAAATGAAACAAAAGACCCTCCATTTGTTACAACAAGGAATCAGCGGCGATTTATTGCCCTACGTAGATCCATACTAGTAGTTACTCGGATTGTAATTTACGTGGTGTAGGATAGAAATGGATCTGCTTCCTTACGCTTAATCTTCCTTTTTTTCTGCCCCCAAGCCGTAACCAAGTTCCGAATCCCCATGCAACCCTGGCCCCCTCCCCCCCCTTCGAACGATGGAGAAAGCTGCTTAAGCTTAATTCAAGGACAAGGAACTTGATCAAATCAGAAACGTCCCTGGGGCGCCACTCATATCCTATTTGTCCTAGCGTGACCCCCCTTTAAATAGCAAAACTACAAAAGGGGAGGGGGGCCACGCCGAGCTCTTGATCAGAGAGCTTGGCGTGGTGTTTTTTTTTGTACCCTGTCTGTGCTCAAGAATCTCGGCAGAGCCAAGCAAGCTACTACAAGCGTTACAACCCACAGATACAAAATTCATGGCCGTAGCTTATTGGAGCAGGTCGAGTTCCCCACCATGTCCACCTTATTCTAACAGCATAACTACCCTTTGTCGTGTGCTGACGCGGCCCTTCGGTGATACTGTTGGTAGTTGTTAACCGTACATTTCATGTACGGTAGATAATACAGCAGGTGGTAGCTTATTACAAGCTTATTACATACTATGTATATTAGTTCGACTCTCGTTCTAGGATCGGCGGGCTTCGGAATGTCGAGCCTAAACTAATAGGGCCCATATCTCCGCGAGGTGGAACATCGTATACCACCACCAGAAACCTGACTTCCGAGCGCATAACAAATTGAACGGTGAAATAGAGAAATGCCAACTGGCGATCGCATCTAAGCAGTACACGTGGGCCACAGGGGTAATGAACGTACTGTATACGAATATGACCGCAAAATGCCGGCTCGCTACCGTGGGAAATGCAAAGAGATCAAACGTCGTCTTGGACGGCGCAGCGAGATGACGGCCTGTTGCGTATACGCTATTGTATATATTGTATCGAACAGTAAATGTTTGGCAATATAGTAGTGTATCTGCGCCACGAACCAGGGGGTACTTCATATGTAAACAAGCCCGCGACTAACACGACTAACACCCTAATATGCACCAAAGAGACAAATTAGGGTGTAGCCAAGAAACGTCAAGAAAACGCCAAGCTTCTGATCGTGTAACGAAGAAACGGTTATCCAGTACTATGTACAGAGTGATATCGTTTTCAACCGATGCTAATTGCCTAGCGAGCCCAGGCCCTAAGGGTGGAAACACGGCGGAAACATGGGCTGATCAGGATCTGGGTTCACAATCGTATCAACGAGATCAAGGTAATCCTGCACCCCGGATACACGTGAATCATCTCGGGAGCACAGAGATTCGTCGGGTAGGCAAGCGTCCTTCCTTCGATAGTCGCTCGGCCAAGCGCTTCATCGTCTTTCTCATTAGGAAACACTCTTCCCGATGACGAATCATCAAACTTGATAACGGCTTTGTTACCTAATAGAGCAGCTTGGCGCTCTTTGTATGATAATTCGAGGCCCCAACATTCCCCCACCGGTTACGAGGCCAAAGTATACATACGTATAGGTTAGTGGTGTATTAGTAGTAGTATTAGTAGTAAATTGACGATGCCCGCCACCAGCTAGGAAGAGATGGTGATAATGGATGTGACGAAAGGAAAACGGGAAGAATCTGCCGGCTGCTCTTTGCGCCGGGAATTACACCGCAGCTCGATGCTACAATCTAGCTTTGTCCAAATAGCAACTTGTTCTTGGCAAGCGGCTAAGGCTGCCTGCTTGCATCTGCACCCTATCGCGATGAAACCAACATTTAACATTTCTAGAGGGTTAATTGAGGGGGGAAACATCGTGTCGTCGTTGAAGGCCAACTGCATCAATGACAGTTTTGGGGCCCGCGACCCCCAATGGATAGCTGCCTTCGATATTCCTTGCATTAGATGAAACGTCAGTAGGACCTAAAGATTGAGGGTGCGGTCATATGGCCCCAAATCCGTCCTTTGCCGGCATAGTGTGGGCACAGTTGGCAAAGCCGAACGAAGGTAACGCGTGTAGTAATAAACCGAACGCTACGCCGTAGAAACGGCCGAGCAGGCGGGCAGATTTCGCTGTTAGACCGGTCAGGTCGCGGGAAGGCCAGCGACTGGTCGTGATCTGGGTGTTCGCAGATATTTCCAGCTTAGGCCTGTCTCATATCAAAGCCGCCGTTGTACAAAGTGCTCCAGCTACCTAAGGTACGGAAGGGCTCATCACTTTGCCCCTGCCCCTGACACTGAACGCTGCTCCCTTTCGGCCGTACCAATGACGGCCTGATGAAATTACAACAAGTGCCCACCAAGATTGGAGAGGCTCAAAATATCACAAGCTCTAAAGAGATCTTACTCAAGGGATGATGGGGATCGTACTGGAGTTCTCCAAGAATAAGGATCTCCAGTAGAAAGTGTTTGGCTTGACAGGTAGGTAGATTCGCACCACTTGTGGATCTTCCACAAAGAAAAGAAAAAATCTCTCATCCGTTGTACCCCCTCGGAACGCTTTCCAGTATTCACCGATCGGGGATGGGGATGAAGTGCTTGTGACGCGGCAGGCAAGTGCTCCAACTGCCGAATATCATGAACAAGTTCTGTCGATCTATCGCCACCGAACTCAAGCGCTAGGGAGGCTCGAAGACCTGCGCATGCAGTAGGAATTAGGAATTGGGTTACTAGATGGGATGCTTTCTGTATTGTATGATACTATTTATCTTAGAGTACACTACATGATTACAATTAAGCATAAAGCAGCAGCTAGGAGCATGTTACTCCGAAGTCCCTTACCTCTCTATCATAGGACTCTTTACTTTCGCTGTGCGGTAAAGCTGAGGCTCGTAGATAATCGACCGGTATTCTCTTTACGGTATCCCTCGAGCTCCTCCTAATATAAGCGGAGGGTGGATATGGCAACACAAGACCCATACGTCGTGTTTAGGACCTGTCAAAACTAGCCTTAGACTTTGATTCTGCCCTCGTGAAATCCGAACCAACGCACAACAGAACGCCACAAAGCTTGTTCGGCAGTCAAGTCAAAATTTTCTTTCTTCAATATTGCTTTGTGCGAAGGTGGTACAAGACACTCTCCACGTCCCAGAGAAGTAAGCGTTAACGAGCACGGCATGCCCGCTAATATATTGTGTTCAACAATCACATCGGCCGTACCAGCGGGGAAACGCGGAAGTGTCGTGTATTGTTTGGACCCCGGAGAGATAGCATATCAGTCGATCGAAGCCCAAGCCGAAGCCGCCATGAGGAGGACAGCCCCAGCGCCGTAGGTCAACATACCAGTTAAGGTTATTTTCGACCGTTTCTGATGGCTCGGTGGTATTATCTAGGGTCATCCTCGGCGTCATCCCATGATTGCGCATAGACTCCACTAAGTTTTCTAATCGATGCTCGCGCATGGACCCGCCGGCAATCTCGCAGAAGTCTGGCACAAGGAGGTCAAAGCATTCGACAGTTGTACCAGGTGCTGCTGTGTTGTGGTTCTCTGCGTCTGCCTTCATGTAGAAAGCTTTGATGTCTCGTGGATAGTTCGTGACGAACACGGGGCTATTTCCGTTGCCTACTTTCATAGCAATATATTTCTCATGTTCAGTGTGAAGGTCTTCGCCCCAAATAGGATTGTGAATAAACGGCGTCTCTGACTGCTTCAGCAGCTCGATGGCCTCTGTGTATGTAATGCGCGGCCAGGCTTCTCGTACAAGACCATCCCAACGCTGGGAAACTTGTTCCGCTGCGACCAGATCTGAGGAGCTCTCATTTACGCGTGCTAAGATCTCATTCTTAACTCTCGATCCGGTCAGATCGGTGCAGACATGTCTTAGCATATCCTCAACAAGGTCCATTACGGAATCCAACTTGTCAGTAAAGCTTATTTCTGCCTCTAACATGTAGAACTCGCTAAGATGACGTGGTGTATCACTTTTCTCTGCACGAAATGTTGGAGACAGAGTCCAGACATTACCGAGGGCTTGAGCTAGAGCTTCCAAATGCAACTGGGCTGACACGGTCGTATATACGGGGCGACGGAAGAAAGACTTTGGTGTCTCAGACTCTGTAGAGGACTGAGCAGAGTCACCAGACGATACGTGGAAGACTTCACCTGCGCCCTCGCAGTCTGATGAAGTGAGAATGGGTGTGTGAGTCTGCACGAAATCACGGCTGCCAAAGAACTTGATCAGGGATGCGATGATTTCAGAGCGAAGCCGCAAGACGGCTGATTTGAACGGTATCCTCGGACGAAGATGGGGCAAGGTCCTGAGATATTCTGGAGTCTGGTATTTCTTCTGTATTGGGAACGTCTATGAAATGGTAAGCCATATCGTGTAGAAATGTGAGGCACGACAGCCAGGGATTCTAAGCTTGAACGAACCTTGGCGTCGGACGGTCCCAAGACTACGGCTCGTTCAACTTGCAACTCATGGCTCTGTCCACGGCCTTGAGATGGAATCCAAGACCCATGTAGTCGGACTGCTGCTCCAATATTCAGACTATTGGATGCATCATCATTAGCAATGGCAGATATTGCAGAGGTTTGATTCAAACTTGGATCTCGTACCCTTCAGCCTGGTCAGCAGGTACTACAGCTTGGAGTGATTCGAGAGAGGATCCATCGCCGAGAGAGACAAAGTGATATCGTTTCTGTGCACGGACAGACCGAACGAAACCATGAATATTCACATCTGAGACAGGTTCTTGCGGCTTAAAATTAAGAAAACCGGCGATTGAACTAGGGACGGTTGAAATGAAAGCGCGCGGTATTGTCCGTGATGAGAGCTTCAGGGGGGCTCTAGGTGACGCTCCTCTCAGAAGCGGGAGGATAGAATTCATCTCACACAATTTATTATGAGATGTTCGGAAAATTCAGGTGATTCCGATTCATTCGTGAACATCATGGACACATACTAATTAAAAGTTTGTGTATTATGTGCTTCATCGCATGACATGTCTTCTCTTATAAAAAATTATGGAATGCCTTAGGTATTAAAATCAGTCGTCAATTTTCGGAAAGCCAAGTTTATCCTGGACCGGGTTTAGAGCACAGACCACATGGATCTATCTATTCATTCTTCTTTTCCATTAGTCATCATTCATCAACTTTCATAGGTATCTCTCTTGAAGCGGAACTTTGTCTTAATGAAGCCGTCTCGAGTTCCACCAAGCCTAATTTACTCGACCCAGTCTCATGCTCCGAAATATTCGGTTTATTTTTCACAGAAGGACTGTCACTAAGTATACTGTGAAGTTACCCATCGCCTATTTTTAATATGGATAACTAAAAACACTGCTGAAAGATAATATGGTCGGGACTTATTATTCAGCTCATCAGCGATATCATACTACAGAGGATTAAATACCTAAGGTACTCGATATAGTTGTATGAGCAACCCCGGCGTAGATCGTGATTGTCAAGTTCCCGTCACAAGGTATGCACGTCAATCTCTAACGAATAACGAAGACTTAGTGTTACTAGGTATTTATCTATGAGTACCTACTCTTATCTAGGTAGGTATATCCGGTGATGCCGTCGAGACGGAGTTCCCGTGTCTATTATGCTAGTTAACTTTGCTTCTCCGGCAAATTCTCGCCCAAGGACTTTAACGACGCCCCTTATGCTTAGCTACTTTGTACCAAAACCGTTCATTATCATCGATGCAAACAAGACGTAAGTCGTCTTGCTTATTGTAACATCTGCTCGCGAACGCTCTACTGCAGTAAGACGGCTAATAGATTCATCACCCGCTAAAAATCGTTTCGTCCGCAGGGGTTCTACGATGCTGCGGGCTTAGGAGTACCAGATCTGTCCGACTTCGGTTATCTGCAGTGCGCCCTGATCTTCGACTGGAACAGCGATTCCATCTACCTGGGAGCCGAGCTGTATCACAAAGACAGATGTCTAATTCTCCCAACCTACCGGAATACCAAGCTGGTAAAGACGGCGCGGAAGCGCTGCGGTGGGTTTATATTATGGATAGCGAGCCTCTTAACCTATTGTCTGAATTCACTTCATCTCAATGTCTAGGACATAGTGGACTCGATAAGAGCAATCATCTTGTATTGGTGACACAAGAGTTTCTCCCGTCCTCTGCCCGCCGTTGACCTGACCGGGACGTGCCTGATACCTCAGCGTGAATATGACTCCCATCCTATTCGAGGCTGTTAATGTATATAGATGGAGCAGCTGCATCCCGTCTCATCTTTCATATATTCTTTCATATAAAACGATATCGAAGCCCGGCTACTTGAATTAAGTCTTCGCTGTCGACTAGTCACTTGTCCATACCGACTTTCTGCTATTCTATCCGACAGTCAAGTCTCTTCATAATGCCTTCTTCAAAACCTAAGCCTTCCGAAGTTGCGGCGGAAACGAAGCGACATTACATCCCGGTCATAAGAGCGGAATACGCCCGCCAATGGCCAACCCATTCGTATCTGTTCCAACAACCGCTGGCGCAGATTCCGCTCCAGAGCTCAATCAGCGGATTTTCTCCATCCCCTCCGGAATTTTGTACATATAACCTTGCCGTGAATAATATCTACACGCCCCTACTCTAACATACTATCCAGATGTTTGCTCGGGGGATCCTGTCGACTTTGCCATTGATTGGAAAGAGAAGGTAAACATTCGGATACCATTTATATGCGCGGCGAATGACAAGAGAGCGGGCGGCGACTGGGAGACGGGTGTAGTAAGTTTTCCTACTTTTACATAACTACAGCAGCTACGATTTACTTATACGCTTACTTGTGTAGGTGGGATACGAAGAACGACTCTGTAGACGCAGTAACCTCTCAGCAACACTCAGCACTCCTGGTCCCGGATCTGACGTCGAGAGTAACTACCCCATCCCGTCCGAAGGTGGCATCTATTCTGAGTTTGTCGTGGTATTCCGTGGGCCACACGACCAGTACAAGAAACTAGACCAATGGTACGATCTTCCGGTAGTCTCGATGCCAGCGGCGCGCTGGCCCAAGCTGAGCCACGGCGGTTCTAAATATGCATTCCCGCTGGAGCGCGAAATGGTCAGGAACAAGATTCGCGCCGCCCTGCGCATCTGCGTCTATTACGAACATCGGACCGTCGTTATCGGCGACTTCGGCCTGGGTAACGGCCACCGCAACCCACCACAGGAACTCGCTGAGCTCTGGCGCGAAGTGTTCCTCTACGACCCAGATATTCGTGGCCGCTTTGACTACGTCGCCTTCGTGTTTGAGGACCAGTACCAGAGCACCGCGAAACTAATTCTTGACGACATTGCCAAGAAAAGCAGGGGCAGCAGTAGTCACAGTCATAGTCACCATTCTAGTAGCTCGAAGAGCAAGTCGAAGGCATCATCCAGCTCGAGCTCGAGCTCTAGTAGCGGCTCTGGGTCGGCGCCAAGCGACTTCGAGATATTCTCCCGCGTCTTCGACCCCAGCGAGATCCAGGGTGTCATGAGCCGACCGGATCCCCGATACGGGATTTCTATGCTTACATCGTAAAAAAAGGAAGGAAGAAGTTCTAACATGTGCGGGATGTTGAGTCCTCGTACGTCATTACACAGCGTCAAGTGTTATACGAACCCGTGCGGGTGGATTCAACCCGACGGTCCGGTCGTATACCGGGGCTTTTAAGTCACTTCACCAATTCAAGGGCTAGGAGTTTTTGATTATTTATCTTTGGAATTGAGTAATTGTGTGCAAGTCTTTGGATATAAAGAGTAAAGGGCCGGCCGTCATGTTAATTATTCGTGTATTCTAATCACTTACGTTATGTTCCCTGCTTCTATTACATAATGATATATCATAATATCATCTTGAACAATCTCTTATTATTCATTATGAAACATCATATATTCCAGTTAGGTACTGATTTTTTCTGATACTTTAGGTCATCGGAGCTGTAGGTAGTTTTTGATTTTGATAACAACCTTGGTTAACATTTTATAACATATCAGGTATTACACTAGATGCATACGCAGATAGCTATAAAGGGGAAAAGTCTTGCTTCCGTTATTAGGAGCAGGTCGATCCTCTTACGATTTCGACCGTGAATGTCTTCATGTGATATATGGATCGGCTAAGTCCGATTGAATCGCGATCTAAGCCCCTCAACAATCATAGACATGCAGCGCGTATGAGTTATCTACTATAAAGCTCGAGTCACACGGATCTTACACCAATTCAAGATGTAGTAGGTTATTTACGATAGGTACCAGAACTTGATTCTGTAAGTGAAGCTTTGGAGTAACTGACGCCACATATGCTACCCTGCAAATCTTGATCATATATCATATTCAACTATCATGTAAGCAAACGCCAAACTCGCATGGGAGTGAAACCGGTGTAGGTGTGGGGGTACTATGAGAACACTTTCTTTTTCCTTATAACGTTGGCCGGGTCTGGGCTCTCGTCATGGAGCCGTCAAAGCATAATCATGAGGCTTATATGGCGTGAGGCTAGAATTCCCCCAAGGGTCCGAAATATTTAAATTCTGACCGGCCTCTCAAGATAATATTAGACCATGCATGTATAAAGTATGTATATAAAAGTGAAGCAAAACGCAAAACTCTTAAGTAAGTAAATAAGTATCTAGGTATGAGAATAAAACGTAAGTGACTAAAGTTATAGCTCGGGAGCTACCATCTAGACCTTGATATCGTATGTGATGCATACGCAGCCACTGGACGTCCGGCCATGGGATATGCATATCCGGTACCGTTACATTTACGCCATTTACGGGGAGTATCGGGCGTCGACCCTGGAGAGCACAGCGTTAATTTAATATGCAGCCTACCTAACATCCTAGCCCTCGCTCGAATGTCTTTCCTTCCTAGATTAGGTCTAGGACAATGCGCCCAGACGTTTCTCGGTCTGAGATAGGCGAGGACGATCCTATTGTATTCTACCCATGTGTGTTGAGCCTCGCCCGTGAAATCTTTACTCCTCCGTGTTGTAAGCATGTTCTAGCCACTTAGGAGATTAATAAGCGCCACAGAATCCTAAAGATATACCTACTCCAGCTGTAAGGCGGCAAGGGTTCAAGTATCATATCAGGCTTTGAGAGTTGGAGTTGCAAACAGGCACACGCATTTCCGGATGCTCGCATTTACACATTGGAGAATTTCGAAGGGGTTTTTTGATTGGAGCCCAGTATGCATAGCTGTTTAATCAGCACACGCGATATTGGTGACTACAACTTAGACTTCTCCGAATGTATGTCTGAGAAGTCCTGTGCGTTCCCGAGTCCCAGAACTATAGCTCGGATCCAAGAGCAAGGCACCGAAACATCTGGTTTCTGGTTACGCCATAAAGAAGATTGGGTAATTACTTGCGATAGGAAGAAAACTTGAGACTTTTCTCAGGTTCTAGAAGGCGAAGGAACATTACGAGCAGCTGACTCGGTATATACGGTGTTTTGACTTATACGATAAAACTGCGGCACGCAGACGATAATCCGGCTGGGTTATTGCCTTTTAGTAAGATAGGTAGTCTTGGAGATTATGTATATAATAAGAAAGTTTGGGCGGCCCTGAGAATCCCTAGAAGCAGTCTAGAACCACTAATGCGGCTTATAACAAGTCACGTCTCGTATTATCAAGGGATTCGATACCACTGAGCATAGCAGGGTCTATAGAGCTAGATAGTATCCGATTTAGCAAGATTACTAGCGCAAATAAGAAGGAACATATGCTGCTATAGATATGATTAGCAAATGTATGAGGCTGGCTGAAGTGTGCCAAGTCATCTGTAGTCAAACGTTCTCTTTAATCACCTAGCGCGAGGCGTGATATGGTCCATGTGAAGTCCTCTCCTTTGCGATTATGCATTTCTCGACGCGTAATGATATTGTGGCTGGCTGCATATGAAATGACGACGACCACCGCAAAGCTGCCCCGTATCTCGGTACTAACTTGGGTGAGTACCTAACCTAAGGTACCTACTCTAACTTGTCAAGTTCCAGCTATTAGGAGATAATCGCGAGAATGCATTGTCTTAAAGTCGTATGCAATGGGGGTGTAAGTCAATAATATCCGTGAAGTCATATCCTGGACGTTCAAACGGGGCTCACGGCCGTTACAAGCCATTGGAACGGGCTGAAGTAGTCGGCTATTTTCAGATGTCTTGGATTGCACTTCCGCTGGGTTGTTTGCTTGGCTGTGGTCACAGGCGAGATGCAGGGAGTTTCGGCCGAAGTAAGATTCTTCTCGTCCTCACTAGGAAAGACGCACAGGTGTTTTTCATAAGATGGTTTTGCGGAAAATAAAAAAGTGGTGACCTAGAGATTGGCATGTCTTGATCGGGGAGGTTAGGTGACACGGATTTACATTGAAATCACAACAAAGTCAACTTGAAGAACAGGCTCGTCATATGGTAGAGGCTTGATGCCGTTCCCATATTGTGAAAAGCATGACCTGATGCCGATGCGGTGTAACCTAAAGGCCGAAATACTCGTATGCACTCTGGGTATTAGAGTCGATTCCTTTTCAAGGTCTCGGTCTAAGGTTAGGTACACCTTTTAACCCTGGGTCCTTGGGTTCAAACCTATCTGTACACGTAACTGCTGATATAGGGGTATTCTACCAATACTGCGGCCTCAACCCTTGGAACGTTGACGCTAGGGAAGCATGATCATCGCCCTCCTTTCGTCTTTGCCCAGCCAACTACATCGAGCAATGTGTTAGTGAATGTCTTTCATCCACTTCTAAAGCACCAGCTAATTCCACCAGAACCTTCAGCCTATCGTAATGCAAAGAGAACAAGAAATTAACTTACCTCAAGTTGTACGCCCTTATGTATATGTACTAACCAGTCTACATAACTCTGCGCTTCGTTGTTCCGATCTTCAATTAGCATTCTTGCAAACTCATACTCGGCTCCATCAATTCCTTGTCTAGCTAGCTGAATCGTCAGCGCCTTGGAGCCGCGCATGACTTTGAGGAACTCGATTATGTTCCGGACCTGGGCGTTCAGGTGTGTCTGTAGGACTGGTAATGAAGAGCTATACGGGTCGAGTTGACTGAGGCTATCCTTGCCTTCTCCGAAGAGGTCTACTAGTAGATTGGGTGATGTCTGAGAATGGAACCATAATAAACATTGTTGCCCATTATCCACCAAGTATACGCCGCCCGGCTCGACCCGGCTGAAAGATGTACGAATGGCTGGTGGAACCTTCAGATAGCCTGTTTGTTCGTCGGGAAATCCATCCTCCGGGTTCAGGTTATGAATGGGTATCATTCTAGGATATAGGTAGAGACTGAGCTCCGGGGCACCTATTGACCTAATCATGCGCATTTCGTGTACCCTCCGGTCAGATGTTTCGTTGCCCCCCTTGAATGCCCGGCATTTAAGAAGCCCAAGCATGTACATTGAGAACTCCTTAAGTTTCTCCGGCATAACAAGTTGTCCGGGAGGATGCGACTGGGATGAAAAGTTCTTGCGATACCCTGCTAATATATCAATAGTTTTCTCTGTCAATCCTAGTCTTATGTCTTTGAGGGTGCTAGAAGTCGAGGCAAGTTTAGAAGCAGCGTCCTTAGCGAGAATCGTGTAGACAGCATCCTGGTCTACGAATTTCATGCACTCTCGCGGGTTGTCGCTAACGCTAGCGATCACGTTGGAACACCTCACTCGTCGTTGGCCTGATGCGGTTGTATATAACAAGGCGGATTGGAAATGGGCATCAAGCTTCGAATCAAGCTTTCCGTCATAGCCAAACGTTACGCCTACAGCTTTGTCGGCATCTATTACACCTATTTCAAGATCGGCTCCGAAGGTATGCTGTATGAAGTTGCCATGGTATGCGGAAATTTGAAGACCATTAGAGCATCGAACTTTCATCAACGCTTGATAACCTGTTTCCCTTGTGACGGTGTGCTTGATTTCAAGGGAGAGCTTGGCATTATCGCGACCGGCCACGAAGTTGGGGTAGTAAAACGTCTCCCCGCCTGTAGTAGACGAGACATGGCCTTGGGCGCGCGGTTAGCTACAATGATGATAGAATCATGTCTCGTATGTAGACTTACCAATAGTAGCTACGTCCAAATATCCACCCGATGGAGCAGCCAAAAAGAAGTCAATACCGACTCCGGCCGCAACCATCTTCTCTGCAACTTTCTTCCACGCGGGATGTTCGGTAGAGAAAAGTTTCTTATCTATTTCACCACCAGGATACTTCCCGTCGTCTCTCATAAAAAGCCGTCCGGGGCCCCATGTAGGTAAAGCCGACAACGAACATACAATTTTGCCTCCGGTCTTTTCTAGCGCTGCCAAACATGACGTCAATGTCGGTAGTAAAGCAGGCTCCGGATTTTTTATATCTGCAAATAGTGTCGGTAATCGCGTAAGCAACGACGTGATAACAGCTCTAGATTCATATGGGTCAACGAAGAGCCCATCACTAAGCGGAACAAATGGGTCTTCGATATCGGGCATGATTATCATCTGTGCCTGTTCTAGAGCGGGCTAACTGGTTGTCAGGGATACTTCTTGTCAACAAGTTAGTTGGATACTCACATTGCAGTTGTAGAAATGTATGTCCTTGTCGTATGTGACAAATCCGACCTTTGCCCCAGCTGGAATTCGCCGTTTCGGCTCACCGCTCTCATCCGTCTCATCGTTCTCTTCTGAAGTGTAGAGCGCGGCAAGAATGCCTTCACAGAAAGCCTCTAAAAAGCCCTTATTATAAGATTCCTGGGTAACATCAATCACAAATAGCCAGTGGATACCTGTCGGCTCTTTCGTCCAGTACTCCTTAGGTACTAAGAATTCGACTGTTCCCCTTGTCAACTCGGGTCGCTGATCCCGATCCACTCTCACACCCTGAGGCGTAGTCGCGCAAAAATATTCCGAAGGGGTATCATTAGGGTATGTGCATAGATTGCACACGAATTTACTGCCCCCTGATCGAAACATCATGAAAGGGTTGATATAGGCACGGCATCTATGACACCTCGGTGGTCCCACATCACCAAAATCGAGTACAGGGACTTCCATTTCACCGGGCTGAAGGCGAGCTAGTGGTTGCAAGACGAGACCTAGAGGCAACCCAGTACTTTTTAGGCCTTCGGCGTTGGCTGGGATATTGTTCATTGTCAATCGAGTAAACTTGGGCGAGGAATTGCCTTGGTCATAGGCAACGAAGGAGACAGTAGCTGGGGGAGGCACATGACGCTCAAACGTCGGATATACATTGCTCAGGTAGTGT